CCGACTGCACTCTCACAGGCGACGGCTGCCCCACATTCTCTCCAGTCGGGGGTGGAACCGTGTCGACCTCAGCTGTCGACTCTTTCCCCTTTTGGCGCTTTGAAGAGTCGGAGGCTAACGCCTTGTCCCTTTGATCGTGAGACCTCTTGCGGGAAGGAGGACCCAACGGCTTGGACGGAACAGAGGCGGAGGGAAGAACAACTTTAGCTTTCTTAGCGGCAGTCGTCTCGACCGCCGTCGGTGAAGCGACAGAACCCGAGCCACCCTCGAGCTCTTGAGCAACCGATTTGTGGGCCGTTTCTGCCTTCTTCTTCTCGAAGCGGGCCAACGCTTTTACTAAAAAAAAAACAACAAAACGATCAAGTACAAATAAACACACCAGCCTTACGTGCTTTTCAAATAAACGCAGAAACGCGAGACAAAACGATCAGTAAGTAAAAGACGACAAACGAAGAAGCTTACAAGGATCGACAAGACGAGGAGCACTTTTATTAACACAAATACCAACATGATTAAGTAAAGAGGTATCTTTGGTAAGTCGACGAGCGCTCCATACATGTTGGTTTAACTCTTCTAGCATATCAGCGAACTGTGAAGAGTCGGGACGCTTACGCTGCTTTGTCTTATGGCTAATCCACTCATTCGAAAAGGGATACAGGCCAGGAGCAGGTCGAATGAAGAAGTATTTCTTTTTCCATTCGGTAATGTTGGAAGAAAGGTCGTCAAGAAAAGTGACACCTACTCAACGGCCTAGACAATGGGCGTCCTTGCTAAACCTATACCCGTAACAGTAAAGGAAAAACTCGGGTAGAAAATTACCTAAAACTATGCGGGTAACAACTATGAAGGCTACCATTATTCGAATAGAATTAGGGATTAACTGGTTTATTGGTATATCGAAAAGGTTACTTAACGATTGCAGTTCAGGTTGAATCGGGAAACGCAGGCCCGACATTATTTGATCCACGAAAAAAGTAAAACAACCCTTGGGAGGGTGACGAAAGTCGTCTTCGAGCTTAGGAGCAACTACAGCCCAGTCCGAGGGTAGGTCGCTGAACTCTCTGAAGCCATCGATTTCGGCTGCAGGAGCGTAAAGAAAACGATAATAAGAACTTACCACAGAACATGCTATAGTTGCAGACTCGATTAAGGGAAGTCATTATCAAGTAAAGGAACAAGGCTGGCCGCATACAGAAGGATGTTCGAAGAAATCTAGCGGAAAATACCTCGAGGAGCCAAGTCGGGGTAAGAAGATTCAAGGGTTTTAAGAACTTCGGGATTCTCACAAAGGGTGCCCGAAAGTAACGCCTGGTTATACACAGCCCAATCGATACCGAAAGGTGAGGCATGTGAATGGGCAAAATCCTTCGGCTCGACGTCTCGATGAGAACACGGCTCGACATCGTTCGGGTGAACAGAGTCCGAACCCGAATATTTATCAATTTCACGGGCAAGAGAACCGGAGACGGGGTCAGAAATAGGGTCAAGGTTGGAATCTAAGAAGATAAAGAACGGCAATAAAAAAAAAAGTTGTTAGAAATCGTGATTCGGTTCAAAGAGAAGGGTCAACAAAATAACCAGGATGACATGAGAGGCGTCTCGACGACGAGGAGAAAGGGAGAAGAAATAAGAAGTAGTTCCCATATCGATTCGACTTGACAAATAAAGGTCAAGTCAGGAAAGGAAGAGAGTCGATCTCATAACAAGACGACTAACAAAAGATAAACACTTGAAAATATGAAAAACTTACAATCAGAGATCTAACAGGAAAATAGCCAGAAGACTCACATGCAATTCCCAGAAAATGAAAGATGTTCTTATTTCCAGACAA